TCTTGTCCGAGATCGCAGAGGCCAGCTGGGGTGGTGGCACGTACCCACTACCACCACCTCGAAGACCCCAGAGGCTGAGGGTCAGAAGCAGGACTCCCACCATGGTTTGCCTACCCCTAAGCATGCACACTGTTCTGTGGGCTCGCTTTGACAGCCCCATCTTATTCAGGGGAGGAGAGGAAGGCCAGAGTGGTGAACTGGGAGGGTTGGAGACCACAGACAAGTAAATGAACAAGCTTTTCATCTAGTTCCTGAATCTCAGAAAACTGCCCCTCAATGCCCAGCTCCCTTGGAGCTGTGGCTCTGGCTGGGCCACGTTTTCTCATGAGAAAATGTCATGAGGAGATGGCGTGTGTGTGTGTGTGTGTGTGTGTGTGTGTGTGTGTGTGTGTGTGTGTGAATATGTGTGTGCATGTGCATATGTGTACACATGTATGTGTGTATGTGTGTGCATGCATCTGTGGGTGTGTGCACGTGTACACATGAGTGTGTGTGTGTGAATATGTGTGTGCATGTGCATATATGTACACATGTATGTGTATATGTGTGTGCATGCATCTGTGGGTGTGTGCACGTGTACATATGAGTGTGTGTGTGAATATGTGTGTGCATGTGCATATGTGTACACATGTATGTGTGTATGTGTGTGCATGCATCTGTGGGTGTGTGCACGTGTACATATGAGTGTGTGTGTGTATGTGTGTGTGTGTGTGTGTGTGTGTGTTGGAAGCACTGCTCTGCTGTTCAGTGCAGCCTCTACACCCTTGTGAACTGGAGTAATGACACCACTTTGCAGATGCTTGATGAAAGAGAAATACAGTCACTTACGGATGGCCACATAGCAGAGCCTGAGCTCGGCCCGGACAGTCTGTCCCATCTCCAAGCTCCCAAAGCTTTAGTAGGAAACGGACACGGTATAAAGAGTTTGTGCCTGGGGCTACTTTTATTTTATTTATTTATTTATTTATTTATTTATTTATTTATTTATTTATTTATTTTTGGTTTTTTGAGACAGGGTTTCTCTGTGTAGCTTTGTACCTTTCCTGGAACTTGCTTTGTAGACCAGGCTGGCCTTGAACTCACAGAGATCCGCCTGCCTCTGCCTCCCGAGTGCTGGGATTAAAGGCGTGCGCCACCACCGCCTGGCTGGGGCTACTTTTAGAAGGTTTTGTAGCTGTTGATGCAGCTCAGTTAGTAACTGAGTGCCTGCCCAGCATGCATGAAGCCTGCACAGCATGCACGAAGCCCTGAGTTCAGTCCCTAGCACCACATAAACCCAAGTGTGGTGGCACATGCATGCAGTCCCAGTTCTTGGGAGGTTAGAGGCAGGAGGATGGAAAGTTTATGGTCATCTTCCTCTTCACAGCACATTGGAGTGCAACCTGGGTTACATGTGTCAAGAAGGAGGAGGAGGAGGAGGAGGAAAGAAAAATCTAGGCAAGGGGCAATTTGTCCCTCTCCCCTTGCCACCCTGGTCAAAGCCACCAGTCTGAAAATCATGTTCCTCCAGTGACCGATTGAAATCCAAGACTCTTAACAGCGTCTAACCCTAGTAACTTCAAAACAGGAGCGGGTACCCGACTGTCAACAGATGGTTAGCTGTTCTGTGGACAACCCAAACACGTCCCTGGTCTTGGCAGCTAGCTGGCACTAGTGTCACAGCTGGCCTCACATGTCCACACCCCGCTGTGAGCACCAGGAAACTGAGGCAGGAGTGTCAGGGGTTCCTGTGGTCAGGGTAAGTCCCTCCCAAATGCACTAACCCTGCCTGCCAGTCTCCCCGCCCCAGGTCTTCCTCCTCTGTCTTAGGAGCCTGAGCAGCAGGGGCAGTTCTCCTGTTAGACCAGGTCTGAAGCCGGAGCAGACCTGCCACCCAACTCAGACCTGCCACCCAACTCAGACCTGCCACCCAACTCCTTCCTTGATCAGAGCCCCAGCCACTTCTGTCCTGTGAGCCTTGCAGCATGGGCCTGCCTGCCTTCCATTCATCAAGTCTCCCAGGCCTAAACATCGCCCAGGAGGTGTTTTGTAAGTGGATTCCTTACTCAGGCCTTCAGGCTGCCTGTGTAAAGAGCTGAGGGGAAAGAAATCATTTTATTTATTGATTGATTATATTATTAAATCATCAGGTTTATTTTGGGCCAGAGAGATGGTTCAGTGGTTAAGAGCACTTGTTCTTACAGAGGACCCCGGTTCAAGTCCCAGCCCCCACATGGATAATTCACAATCCATCTGTAACTCCAGTTCCAGGGGATCCAACACCCTCTTCTAGTCTCCATGAGCACAAAGCATTCACATGGTACACATGTATACATGCAGACAAAACATGCATAAGATTAAAAAATGAATGAATCTAATAAAAATGTTAAAGTTTTATTTTCTTTTTAATTATGTGTTTTCATGTGTGGGTGCATAAGTGTAGTGCCCACAGAGGTCAGAGGCAGGGCTTGCATCTCTGGAGCTGAAGTTACAGGTGGTTATGAGCTGTCGACTGTGGGTGCTGGGAATAAAACTTAGGTCCTCTGCCAACGCAGTACGCTGAGCCATCTCTCCCAGCTCCCTAGACCAGAATCCTGGGGAGCACCTGTGTTTCTGAAAATGCTCCCAGGGAGGAAGACACCCCAAATTCAAGAGACTGGACCATCATCTTTTTTTGGAGTTCTTAGCTTTTTTAAAAAATATACTTTTTTATTCTGTGAGTATTAGTGTTTGCCCACCTGCATGACTGTGCACCACATGCATGCCTGATGTTCCAAGGGGAAACCAGAAGAGGGGATCGGATCCCCTGGACCTGGAGTTACAGAGGGCTGTAACCCCCATGTGGCTGGGAATGGAGCCTTGGTCCTCTGGAAGAGCAGCCAGTGCTCTTAACTGCTGAGCCATCTCTTCAGCCCCTGGGTTCTTGTGTTTTGACAGTCTCATGCTGTGTACTGTGCATTCGGATCACCCTCACCCCACCCTGTGACCCCCTCTCACCCCATTCCCACTCCATCACTTCCTTCCTCCTAACTCCGCCCCTCTTATCCGAATGTCCCTCTTTCCCCAGACCCCATGCAGACAGCCCAGCTGCTGTGTACTCACGTTTACAAAGTCATGTCCTATGCAGGTGACAGTGCCCTACCACGTGCCTGCCTCCCCATCCTTCCATTCCCACTGTCCTTCTATCCCCTCTCCCGTGATGTCCCCTGGGCTTTGGAGAGGCCGTTTAGGGCCATTGTTTTTTTTTTGTTTGTTTATTTTTCAAACAAGGTCTCAGGAATAATGACCCCCAGCTTCTTATAAAGCTGAGACTGGCCTTGAACTCCTCCTGAACCTCCTGGGATGACAGGCATGTGCCACCACACCCAACTATAGACTGGGTCATCTTGGAAGCTCCTCCTGCCTCTGTGATCTGTCAGACGCCTGGTGTCAGAGAATGACCTTGATGACCTTTTGAGGCCCTGCCTGGCCACTGAAGCCAGAGGACTCAAATATTTATATGGATGACTCCTCAGGGATGTTGGGGAAAGGAGGGGGGATGGTGGGCGGGTGTGGGGGAGTAAAGAGAGCTGACACCCAGCAGCCGTGACTCAGGCCCTCAGCACCGTGACAGTGACAGCGTATCTGCTTTTAGCTGTTGGCTCTTGTTTCCATGGAAGGCTGCTCTGGGGGCCCCCCACCTGACCCCCACCTCTTTCCATCTCACCTCAGTACAGGTGACTCCCTGAAGTCCTGCCAGCCAGGATAGGCAACACAGACTAGGTACCAGCAGGAGTCTGGGGGTGACATATCCCTTTAGTGCCAGCCATCACTCAGACCCCGGTGCCCTGCCCTGTCCTAACTTCCCATATCACCAGGAATGCAACTCCAGGTTTGGCTCTGTGGACCCAGAGACAAGAGGCACAAACCTCACATTCAAGAACGCCTAGGTTAATGGGAGAGAGACAGGTGATCCTGCCCCAGGAGCAGGGATAAAGGGTACCGAGAGGTGTCAGAACTCACGAAGACTATGTCACATTGCCAGGTGCTAGGGACTCGGGACAGAAGGCCAGAGCAACTAGAGGCTTCCCTGGGAGAGAGAAATGAGGTGGTTAGTTATATGGGAAGAATGGGCAAGGTTTGTGTTCCCAAACTGCCTGATGGACTGATGGAACACCTGCCTCCTTAAAGTGCCTCCCCTGGCTTCTGCCCAGTGTCATAGAGTCTGGGGTTCTACTCAGTGAAAAGAAAGAGGCTTCTTGGGCACAAGGGGCAGGCACATCTGGAATTGAATCCCAGCCATTCCAACATGCACAGGCCCAGCCCTTCCCTTCCTGGGAGGCTTTATTTCCTGGTCTAGAAACTGGCCTAAAAACTCCTCTTTTTGAGCCATGGGAGGTCAAAAAGGGCTTTACCGGGAAGGGACGGCAGTGCCCAGAGATACCCTGAGAGTCTCCAACAGTCTCCTTTACCTGGACGTGAAATCCGGTGACAAAGATCCTGGGTGAGCAACTTCTCTGAGCCTGAAATGGAGTGAACTGTTGCCAGAAACAGGTGAGTCTCCTAGACCTTTAGGGATAATTATCCAATTATCTGCCCCTTCCTGAAGCTCGGCCCCACCCCCCACCCCCACCCCACCTCCAGCTTTCTTCTGTTCTGTCCTTCAAGGTTCTGGAGAGCTGGGATGTGGGGGGCGGAATGAGGTGAGGTGTAGAACCGGAGTTCCTATGGGAGTTGACAGGGGTCCCCTAGGCATTCTCACTTCCCTCCCTGGGCTGCCTCAACCTTTCTGAAGAGACCGCTGAACCTGGGGATCCTGGTATCTCACAAACAGCCCAGCAGAGCTCTCTCCCACACGCCCTCTCCTCAGGAGTCAGATAAGGGAGGCACAGGTCCCGAGAACCAGTTTGAGAGGAGGGTCGGGTCCCTGGCTAGTGAGGGAAACAGCAAACCACAAAGTCCTGGAGCAGGCCCAGGGCAGGACCCACCCCCTGCCCTGAGGCCCTTGGGGCTGGAGCTCTAGGCTTGGAGTGCCAGGCGATGAGCTCAGCCCTCCAACCCAGCCCGTGTGTCAGGCTGTCAGCAGGGCCGTTTCTCCCAAGAAGATTTCCAGGCCCCTCTGGGCCATGAAGAGGCCTAAATTTAGCCAGCACACAAGAGGCTGGCTTGGAGCCCAGGGACATCGGGCCTTATAAAGCGCTGGCAGTCGGGGCCCGGCACGCTTCCCTGGAGGCCTGCACCCACACATTTCTCCAGTGCAGCCCCTGCCTGGACAGGGGCTCTGCTGCCTGTGGATGAGCCACCGGACCTCCTCCGCCTTCAGAGCGGAGAGAAGCTTCCATTCTTCCTCCTCCTCCTCCTCCTCTTCCTCTTCTTCTTCGGCCTCCCGAGCCCTCCCGACCCAGGACCCACCCATGGAGAAGGCTTTGAGCATGTTTTCGGAGGATTTCGGCAGCTTCATGAGGCCCCACTCTGAGTCCCTGGCCTTCCCAGGCAAGTGCTGAGGCTCTGAGGGGAGGAGGCAGACTCAGGTGGGGACATCGCTGAGCAGGCTGCGGCCACCCACCTGCCAGGACTAGGTGCTGCATGGGTTACAGCCACATGTGGCTGCCCAGACAGACCTGGTCACCAGGACAGATATGGCTATGACACAGGTGGGCCTCCTGGGGACAACGGTGGCCCTAGGGGTGAGATGTGAATCCAGCAGTCCCACATGGTCCGTGTCCTCATGGGAGCCCTGGAGGGCTGACTGGGATTGAGGGGTGACTGCCCCCCCCCCCAGCTCCCAGGCCTGGATAGAATTGCTAAAGGAGGGATTTGCATGCATAGATTACAGACTGAATAGAGTGGGGCCTGCCCCCCTGTCGCCCCCCCCTCCCTTCCCCCGTTTCCCCCTCCCCGGCCCCCCACTCCCCACAAGGTAAGTGGCAAGAGTGAGGAGAGGGGCTGGTGTCTGGGAGAGGCACTCACTCCCCAAGAGAGGAGCGGAGACCCAGGGTTTCGGTTCAGGGCTTGCTGCGTGCCCAGCTTATGGCAGTTCTACCCACAGCCCGTCCCGGGGGACAAGGCAACATCAAAACCCTCGGGGATGCCTACGAGTTTACAGTGGACATGAGAGACTTTTCCCCTGAAGATATTATTGTCACCACCTCCAACAACCACATCGAGGTGCGGGCTGAGAAGGTGAGTCTGGACCCTGCCCCACCCCGGGGGGCCCCACCTTCCCCTGGACTCTGCCTAGTCTAGCTGGTTTCTCTACTTGCACCTGACTTTGGAGACTTCATACCCTGACCGGTGGATGTTCCTTCCCTGTCTATACTCCCCAGGGCAAACTGTAGCCCATTCCCCGGTGGGCTCACAGTCCAGAGACCTCCTCATGTTCCCCTCCAACCTAAGGTTCACAGAACCTGTCTTTGGGCACCTGGGGATCCTCCAGGGATGAGAGAGGCATCTTGGGATGTGGGCAGAAGGGAACCTGGGTGGTTGAGACATGAGTGACCATGGTGGAATAAGGACAGCTCCTTGGCAGAAGGTAGAGGAAGATGGCCGTGGCTGGTCCAAGCTGGGCAGCGCAGTCCATTCATCCCATACCTCCACCCCTCTTTCATCCCAGAGCCAGAAGCGTGGGTCCTGTTTTGGTGCCTCCACACTGGGCCTGAGGCTGAGCAGAAGCCATGAAGCTCAGAGTCACACCCACCCTGAACCCCACGCACTTTACCCAGAGTCTCAGGATAGCTAGATCATCAGAGGAGGCATGGCCAGCACAGACAGTGGCTGCCCCGGTCCTTAGAGCCATGCTATTCTTAGAGGATATTTGCCAATCCTCCCTGAACACCCCCCAAGCCTGGCTAGCTCCCCTAATTCAGGCTGGACACTAAGAAGCCCTGCCAGGGGTTCGAGGACTGTGGGGAACTGACTGCACGTGCCAGCCCCACGTCCCAAGGGTGACTCAGCCAGCCGACTCCGCTGGACACTATGTGCTAGCTGGACTGCGGGGGAGGGTGGTGGCCCTAGTGGTGGACACTCAGGGTGTCTGGGGATCCAGAGGGCACAGCTGTGTCATCTCCCCACCATAGCTCAAGAGTCCCAGACTTGTATGTACTTCTAACGGAAGCTCAACCCTAACTGAGCCCCACCTAACCCTATTCTACACCCAGCTCCCCTAGGGACCTCTGGAGCCCCTCTGCAGAGCCCTTGGCTTCTGGCTAGCCCACACCTCTGCAGCTCTTCCACGCCTGATAGCAGTTGGGTAGCTGGGGACATAAAGAAGAGACTCTGTCTTGATTTGGGCACGACCAGGACCCAGGACAGGGCGAGCGCTAGGGCAGGCACTTCTGACCTGTCATCCCTTCCCCAGCTGGCTGCTGATGGCACAGTCATGAACACCTTTGCTCACAAGTGCCAACTACCAGAGGATGTGGACCCTACATCGGTGACCTCGGCCCTTCGAGAGGATGGTAGCCTCACCATTCGGGCACGGCGTCACCCACACACGGAACATGTCCAGCAGACCTTCCGGACGGAGATAAAAATCTGAGGGTCTCCCTACCCTTGCCCTCCCCCCATCTCCTCCTCAACTGGCCTGCTGGTGAGGTCATCCTGACCCCTGACAATGGCCCCCAGAACATCTCAGTGTAGGTCCTAGTCACTCCACACACTCTTAGGCCCCAGGTGGGTCACACCCACGCACCCCAAACTAGGGCCCTCCTTCCCACCCAGGGCAGTCCCAAGACCCTCTTGCCCTCACCCAGATGGGACCTCCCTATCTTAGTCCACAGTAGAGGAGTTGAGGTATCAACTTGGGGAGAAAGATGGGGACTGAGCTTCTGAGCAAAAGTTCAAAGGACAGAGAGACATCAACAGCATCTCTGCAGGGCAGGGGACCAGGGACCCTCCCAGCAAGTGAAATATAAGAGTTGGCCACAAGCGCCGGGCGGTGGTGGCGCACGCCTTTAATCCCAGCACTCGGGAGGCAGAGCCAGGCGGATCTCTGTGAGTTCGAGGCCAGCCTGGTCTCCAAAGCGAGTTCCAGGAAAGGCGCAAAGCTACACAGAGAAACCCTGTCTCGAAAAAAAAACCAAAAAAAAAAAAAAAAAAAAAAAAAAAGAGTTGGCCACAAGCAGAGCTGCTGGCCTTGGTGGACTGCCTCAGGCAAGCCAGAGAGATAGCCATGACTGTCACCTCCCTGGGGCTGCAACTCTCCAAGTCTCAAACCCAGGGCTACCTGTCACTCTGGGCCCCCGTCAGCTACCTGTGCCAGGCAAGGATGCCTGTACCCCAGTGTTTGTTAAAAAGGCATGAGGCTCCTATCTCCAGCACCGGTGCCTTAGGTCACTCCCTTTCACAAGAGCCCTAGGCTCCTGGGTGGCTCCCCCTGCAGAGAAGGTCCCCTCCGGAAGTGGGAGCAAGAGCAGTCACGGGACTTACTAATCCACGAATACACACACACACACACACACACACACACACACACACACACACACACACACACGCCATTGTCCTAGCCCTTAAATACTCATTCCCATTGCTTGAAGCCCAATTCAAAACGCTCTGGAACTAGCTTTAGCTCTGTTTTCATCTATGGGGATGTCGCATCTCTGAGCAAGCCGGATGCTCGGTTTTGTGGCTGAAGGTTGGCTCTGCCAGCTGCTCACTTCTGCACTGGGGAGAGCTCCCCTGACTCCAACTCTCTAGAGCCACACGCCCTGCCTCCCACGTCTCACGGCACAGGGTGGCCACAGGAAGAGCCCCAACCCAGATCCCTTCTGCCCTCCAAGTCCAGGGCAAAGACCCTTGTCAGCCCTAACCCTGGAGGACCAGGGCTCTGACTCTGGCTGTGACTCCCTCTCCCGCAGTTGAGGCAGGTGTGAGGGGGAGGGGGAAGCTCTCGGTTAGTTGGGGATCCCTGGGGCCTCTGACTCCTGATGTCTCAGGACCCTGGGGACAAGGAGGGTGCGGGTTCATGGGAGTCTGGTCTCTACAACCTGTACACAATAAAAGGACAGTATGACAGATTTGTGGAGACCCCACCTGGAGTTCTACCTGGGAGGAGGGGCTGAGTGGGTGGGGAGGGCATCTGGACTGAGGACAGAAGCTCAAGGCCTGAAATGTGTGGAACCTTCGACCTCCCGTCTCCTGCAGAAATCCCGCGTTGTTTTACAGAAATGCTTATAGCAACCTGTCTCCCTCCTGCCTGCCCTTCTCTTTGTATTCATTCTTCAGTTCAGGAGGAATGTCTGAGCTGGACTCTGCACCAGCACTGTGTTCTACGCTGTCCCCAGCCAAGGGCCACAACGTCCCTTCTTGAAGTTCTTCCCCTCCCCCCCCCCGCCCCCACTCCACCCCACCCCACCCCGCAATGGGGCCTTTGAGGCCCAGAGAAGCTAAGTGATTGGCCTAAGGTCACACAGCTCCGAAGACACAGCCAATTGGGTGCGGTGCTGAATGTAAGCCTGGAGTGTTCTGGGGCGGGGGTGGGGTGGGGGATGGGGGGGGGTCCTCGCTCCTCACACCCCCAGGAACTACTGAAATCAGAGTAGCAGGCTGCTCCCCAGAGCAGCTCCGCCGGCGACTGCGGTCGGAGCAGGGAGGGGAGGTGGGGGTGCCGTATTTCCAGCCTTGTGAGTCACGGATTCCGCTGGGCTATTTGCAGCCCCAACACTCATCGGCGCGGGGCTGGGGTGTTGGGCGGAGCCGACAACCTTCCGCATTTGCCCCCCGCCCGAGGTCAGGTTCACCTTGGCGAGAAGACCAGCCGGAGAGCCAGCGCTGAAAGGGGGGGGGCTGTCCCCAGCAGGGGGTCGGGGTGGGGTGCGTCTCCCATCACAGGTCGCAGCCCCTGTACAGGCGGCTTCCTGCCGCTGGAAACCAGGTTCTTCTGGTCTAAGGGAGCCCTGGGCTGTCACTCCAGCCAAGGTGACCCCGCTGACCGGGAGGGCGGGGGATGTGGGGGCGGCCATGCAGGAGTCTCTCTCCTCAGCTCCGCCTGCTAGGGCACCAGACTGGCCCACCCTTTCTAGACTAAATATAGGCCTGGCTGAAGGCCCTGCACCCCGCCCCCACTGGTGGAGCTTAATTCTGGGAGCCCCGATCATTGAGTGCCCAGTGTGTGCCAAGCACCCCAACAATCCTGTGAGCAGGATGATACTGTCATCTCACACAGATGGATGGATGTGGAGGTTCAGAGGGGTCAAGCAAGTGATCCAAGGTTGTCCAGCTTGGAAGTGCCATCGCTGGGATTTGAAACTTTGCCTGGGGCTCAGGAAAACTCTCTGCTGGGTCAGCCTAGAGCCACACACTCCCTCTCCCCAGACATGGAAGCCCCTACTTCTGCAGAGGCGGTGAGGAGAGGAGGGGTTGTAGCCCATCTGGGTTTCCTGGTGACTTTATCCAGTAGGTCTGCATAAAGAGGATGATTGGACCACGGGTCTGAGTATCAGGTGTTTGGAAGGGTCTACACTTGACTGTATTGAGCAAAGGGGAGGTTTTGCTCCACCCCTTGGCATTGTCATAAAAAGCCCTTTGGAATCAAGTTCAGGGCCGGTGGATTAGGATCCAGGCCCTCCCGAGCTATCCTATGTTTTTTAACTGTCTCTCTCTATACTTCTATCTACAAATTTCTCACTTCTCCCTACTCAAGAGTAAGTACCCTGGGTCGTAAAAGTGGCGGCTGGTCTGTCTCAAGGAGGATTTCTACCTCTTGTAACTTTGAGGAAAGACCTATCACCCGAGAGAAGTTGAAAAGATGTAGCCCTCAGAGGCCAGAGGCCTTCCAAGAAGCCAAGCCAGGTGCTGCCCAAGAATCAGGGGATGAGAGTACCACAGGCTTCCTGCGTCCAAAGGCCAAAGGCTCCCTCCTTCCACAGCCACACAGACCCAAGAGTTTATTCTCAAAAGCAGAGTCTGCTGGATGTGGCTGTGAGTGCCTGCCTAGCAAATTCTGGAGTCTGGGGTGCATGTCTGAAATCCCGACTTTCTGGGACCCATTACAGGTGGATCAGAAGTTCAAGATTATCCTTGGCTATGTAGTTTGAGACTAGGCTTGGGCTACATTAGAGTCTGTCTAAAACAAACACACAGACAAACAAATGAACAAACAAAAAAGCAGACTCTCAAGACTGAGATGTGTGCACCCCTTCAAGACTGTCTTCAGCAAGCCTGAGATGTGTGCACCCCTTCAAGACTGTCTTCAGCAAGCCTGAGATGTGTGCACCCCTTCAAGACTGTCTTCAGCAAGCCTGAGATGTGTGCACCCCTTCAAGACTGTCTTCAGGAAGCCTGAGATGTGTGCACCCCTTCAAGACTGTCTTCAGCAAGCCTGAGATGTGTGCACCCCTTCAAGACTGTCTTCAGCAAGCCTGAGATGTGTGCACCCCTTCAAGACTGTCTTCAGGAAGCCTGAGATGTGTGCACCCCTTCAAGACTGTCTTCAGCAAGCCTGAAATGTGTGCACCTCTTCAAAACTGTCTTCAGCAGTGTTTCAACCATGCAAATAGCATGTGCCTGATGCTGGGAAGCTGACCCATCCATTTGCTTGGCCAGGCTATATGTCTCAGGGATTCAGTCCAAACTTCCTATGAAGGTAAGGTCCAGGCTGGGACCTTCGAGAGGTCTGGGGCCTCACCCAGAGTCACACAGTAAGAGCATTCACATGGTTCAGTAATAAATGTGGGAACCCTGAACTCCCACTGTAGTCCGGTTCTCTTCTCCCAGACCAGTGCCCCTTGCGTGCTCTCTACCCGTTTCTCAGTCTGTCCCTCTTGCTCCCAGACCTGGCACAGAAAAGATCAGAGGAACCTCAGTAAGAGAGGAGGGTCCCTCATGGGCTCTGGAGGAAGCTGTCACCTAGAGCCAAGGGCCCCTAGGGTCAAATCTTGGCTCCACTGTCTCTGAGCAGTGTGTCATTGTGCAAGTAGCTTAACCTCTCTGTATACTGTCCTCTCTGTACACACTGTCCTCTCTGTACACACTGTCCCTAGCACAGCAGGACTTGTACATGGGCTGGTCCTTCGCTCCTGGGAAAAGCAACCGAGGGTAGAGTTTAACCCCTGCACTGCACCCCAGCACTGCACCCCTGCAGCCCCCCTGAGAAGATGCATTCTGAGCCCTAGTGTGGAGGCAGGAAGTGTCTAGAAGCCTTAGTTCCCTGGATCTTGAACTGAAAACAGGTCCTTACCTGGGGCTGTTGGTGAGCTTGAAACCATCTAGAATGTGCAAGAACAGGTCTGTTTCCTCCAACAGTTAAAGAATTGAAAGGCAGGAAAAGTTTGAAAGTCAAGCAAAGCCAGAGTTTATGCACAGAGGACAATTTTATTAGCGTTTACAAGAAAAAGCCCAGGGCAGGCAGCTGTCAGTCTCAATCGGAGGATAATGGAGGGGCAGGAACAAACACCCCCCCTGCTGTCTGAGTTAAGCTGTCCTGGAGGTCAGCCACCTGAGCACCATGGAGAGGGAGCCCTAAAGCAGTGGTTCTCAACCTTCTGAATGCTGTGATCCTTTAAAACAGTTCCTCATGTTGTGGTGACCCCAAACTTAACACTATATCTGTTGCTACTTCATAACTGTAATTTTGGTACTGTTATGAATCATAACGTAATTATCTGTGTTTTCTGACAGTCTTAGGTGACCCCTGTGAAAGAGTCATTCAACCCCAAGGGTTGTGACCCACGGGCTGAGAACTCTGATTTAGGATGGACTAAGGAAGGCCTGTGTACCCAGAGAAAGTGCACTTATCCTCTGTGCAGCATCTGAAGGGGAGAGACAGAAAAACACCAGAAGCTAAAGCTGGGCCTTTCTGAGTCAGGACTCAGCAAAACCTCAGGACGGATCACAGGGGCTGCCCTGGGGTCCAGAACACTAAGGGAAAGGACATCATCTCATTGAAGGGGTAATTATTCCGCCTACCTCTTTAGCGTGGCTTAACATGAGACCAGCTTCCTAGGTGTGCTGGCTAGTTTTGTCAATTTGGCAGAAGCTAGAATCATTTTGGAAAAGGGAACTACGTTGGTCTGTACGCAAGTCTGTGGTACATTTTCTCAATTGATTATTGATATGGGAAGGCCCAGCTAACTGTGGGCAGGGCCACCCTTGGGCTGGTGGTCCTGGGTCTCAGGCTGAGAAAGCCATGGAGAACAAGGCAGTAAGCAGTTCCCCCCAAGCCTTCTGCCTTGACTTCCCTGGATGATGGACTATAAGCTGTAAGGTGAATAAAGCCTTTCTCTCTGTGATGGTTTGAAAGAAAATGGCCCCCAAAAGGAGTGGCGCTATTAGGAGTTGTGGCCTTGTTGGAGGAAGTGTGTCACTGTGGGGATGGGCTTTGAGGTCTCTTTTTCTCAAGCTTGCCTCAGTGTGACAGTGTGACACTAACTAAGACACTCTCCAAGTTACTTCATAAATCCCAACTAAGAAAAAAATTAGTGCCACATCTGCTGTGGCAAACTGATAGCGTATTTTTGGGGAGGACCATGGTAGCACCTGAAGTTTGGCCTGGAAGAGCCACTGAGCGCTCAGCACTCTGTGGACTGTTCTGTGGAAGCCTCCAAGATGTTGAGAGTGATGCAGACGATGGAGGCCTGGCTTGTGGAGCTTCAAGAGGGGAGTTTTGAGAGTCCCTCAAAGACTCTATCAGGGCTGTTGGATATTTTGAATTAAGAACCACTAAAATGCTGGGTGTGGTGGTGCACACCTTAAATTCCAGCCCTTGAGGGGCAGAGGCAGGTGGGTCTCTGTGAGTTCCAGGATAGCCTGGTCTACATAGTGAGACTGCCTCAAAACAAAACAAACTACTCAGTGAAACTTTTGCTTTGCTGGGAGAATGAATGCTGGCCAGCTGGAGCTGAAGAGTCAGCTGTGACTTAGAAAAGAACAACTTCGTTGAGGTGACATCTTCTGGGGTCAGCACACACGGCTGTGGTCCAGAGGGACCAAGGCTCTCTCTGTTGCTGCAGCCACACCGTGATGTGTAAGAATATCCCACGTGGTACTGGTTTTGAAAGCATGGCGGGGCATGGAGAGCAGCTGAGGCTTGGCACTGTGTCACAGAACTGGAGTTCCTGGAGAGAGGGCCAGAAAGGCCACTGAAGAAGGTGCAGCCTCGGTTGCAGTAGAAGGCCCGGGATGGAAGGGATCGTGGAGAGAAAGAGAGAAGTTGAGACTTGGCACCATATGGCAGAGTTGGAGTTCCCAAAGAGGGCCCAGGAGAAGCTATTGGTGAAGAGCAGAGACGTCCAGCATTTTCGAGATGTCAGGACCATGGGATGACACCGGGGACAGCAGCAGCAGTGGAGTGGAGCCACCAGAGCCGAGGAGACAGACTCTGTGTCCTGTGGGGGGCAGAGCCAGATTAGAGCCCTTTGGAGCCCGGTAGACCATTGAGTGGACCCCAGACACTGAACATTGAGTCGTTTACACTGATGGAGATTGATTTGCTTTGTTCAGACTGTGACTGTGTCTTCTCCCTTCTTGGAGAAAGCCAGTAAGCGGCACCCCTTCATGGCCTCTGCTTCAGTTCCTACCTTGAGTTCCTGCCCTGACTGTCCTCAGTGGTGGAGCGTGACCTGAGAGCTGTAAGCAGAAATAAACACTTCCCTGCTTTGGGTCATGGTGTGTTTTCACAGTGACAGAATCCCTAACTAAGACACCAGGGGTAAGTGGTTGACTGGACCAATTTTATTATTTTTTTATGTCTTGGGTAGCTTGGACTATTAGGTCTCCATCCAAGCCAGAGATTTCATCCACCTCAACCAAAAGGAATTCATTTTTTACTTAATGGGCCTTAACTGCTGCTGTGCCATGCTCGGTGAGAATTTCTGGGTTGCCCTTCTGAATGGGGATCTGGTCCCACTTACTCAGGTGTTGTGGAATAATCTTTTTGTACAGTGTGAAGATGTGTCACTCGGATTGGTGTAATAAAATGCTGAACAGCCAATCGTAGGATTTGGGGGGCAGAGAGGAAGTTGGGAAGAAGAAGGTGGAGTTGCCAGTCAGATTCCGAGGAAGCGGGTCACATAAGAGAAGAGGTACTAAGTCATGAGCCATGTGGCAGCGCATAAATTAACAGAAATGGTTTAAGTTGTAAAAGCTAGTTAGAAACAAGCCTTAGCTATTGGTGAGATGTTAATATTTCATGATTAATAAGTCTCCGTGTGGTTATTTGGGAGCTGGCTGGCGGGACAGAAAATTCTGCCTGTGCCCAGGATCTGTCCTGAGACCAAAGATGTCTTAGGAGCTCAGTGGGCTGTGTTTGCTGGACTGAAGCCCAAGGACAGGGCCTCTGTCCCTGAGGATGGTGGGCACAGTCCAAGGAGAAGGCTTCTGAGCAACCTGGCTGCAGCTGCCAGAGGTGGGAATTAGAAACAGTCTTCGTGCGAGTTCAGGAGCTATGGAAAGGGTTAGGGTCTCCTAGGATGCCTCCCTGAAGAACCCCAGCACACTCCCAGCGCCCCCTCCCCCGCCAGAAAGGAGAGGGAAGGGCTACAAACTGACTTGCTTTCCCCTTTCCCCCCTCTCTTTCTGTTCCTCCTTCATACTGCCCTTCCTCTGTCCCTGCCTCTTCTCTCTCCTTCCTCCTCCTCCGCTCTTTTCTTCCCGCTCCCTTCCCTCCTCCTTCTGTTCCTCCATCCTTCTTAATAATTAGTGACCATGGGCAAAGAGTTTCACCTCTCTGGCCTCGGTTTCCTCATTTGTAAAATAGCAGTAAAAATCATGTCTGTGCACAGACTGAAGGAACTGGCGTGATCTGATGTGGCATGGCCACCCGTACAACCTTTTGCCAGTAGCTACAGGGACAGCTGCCTGTACTGAGTGCAAGAACAGTGCCTAAGCCCCGAACCTTCACCAAGCAGCTGAATTCAGAAAAGTCACCATGCTTGGCATAAACACTCATGATCCCGCACTAAAGTGGGGTGTGTAGCATGTAGCTTTACTTTTGGAAAACACAGTCCAGTCGGTGATAGGGTGACACCTGCTGGTGGGCAGGAGCTGTGCCGCCACAGGCCTCTCCAGAGGCAACCTCTCTAATCAAACTCTTTTACACTAACTTGGGGATGTATGCGTAGCAGGAAGAGGGCAGAGAGTAATCCACTTTCCTAGTGGACACGAGTTTTTATATTACACTGTCACTCCCTGCCTAGTTCAAACCGTCTCTCTTCCTGGTCTGAGCTAATGTCCGGCCCCTAGGCTTCCTCCCTGCCTTCCCATATAGTCAGGAGGGCCAGGATTCTGTAGTCCTTTTCGTTCTTTTCTTTTCTTTTTTGTCTTGTTTTGTTTTCAAGACAGGGTTTCCCTGTGTAGCCCTGGCTGTCCTGGAACTCACTCTGTAGATCAGGCTGACCTCGAACTCAGAGATCTGCCTGCCTTTGCCTTCTGAGTGCTGGGATTAAAGGCATGCGCCCCCACTGCCTGGTTTATCCTTTTCTTTCTTTCTTTTTAAAGATTTTATTTTTGTTTATGTGCATGTGTATTAATATATGTAATATATGTGTGCCCGTGGGAAGCCGGGAGAGCTGACATCCAAACTCAGGTCCTCTCCAAGAGTTGTCTATGCTCTTAACTACTGAACTATCTCTCTAACTGACCTTCGTCCTTTTTGGAGAAAGGGTTTCCATTCAGCCAGGCTGGCCTCAAAACAATTACTTTGAATTCCCTTCCCAAGCTTCAGGAAAACCATGCTGTCAGCAGCAACACCCTGTAGGACAGGTAGAAGATGCTTGGTTGGTACCATGCCTGGCATCTGCTGGGAGCCTGGCAGAGGGTGGGGAAGAGGGCAGAGACGTGACCGGCTCTTCTGTCCTTCAGTGCATCCAGGATGCCTTCCTGGGTTCAGACTTCAGAGACTCCTCATTCAGGCTCTCCCTGAACAGATCCTACCGAGCTGCTCAACCTGCCCACGGATACAGGAGGAGAGAGTCTGGACAGAGCACCCAACTGTCCCCCAAGTTGAATGCTTTTCAGTAGCTCCAGCCTTCAAGGGTCTCCTCTCAGCTTTAGGATCATCCTGGGGACAAGGTGGGCTGGCAGGGAGGACAGCTGGAGCCACAAGTCCTCTGTAGGATGGCAAGATATCCCTGGTCCCGGCATGAGGTCTACAACTGAGCGAAAAGTCGAGTCACATGCATCGTGTTTTTTCCACAGAACACAACAAACGTCTTCATGGGCAGAGTGACATGTCCCTGGCTGGGTCTTGATACTCGGGGTGTCACTGGGGGTGCTGCCAGAGAGACTTGATTTCCAGTGGCACGGTCAATAACACAAGTGATGTGAGCTGTGGGGACAGTCTTTGGGGGGGCAGGCCGGCTGCAAACCTAAAAGGAAGAGAAGGGTCAAAAGTTTGGGTTAGTGCAGCCAACTAAGTTTGTTTACTTATTTATTTTGTGTGTGGGCACACATGTGCCATGTTCTGCATGTGGAGGCCAGAGAATCTGGTGATATATTGTGCATCAAATAAAGCTTGCCTGAGGATTAGAGGACAGAGCCAGCCACTAGATTAAACATAGATGCCAGGCAGTGGTGGCACACACCTTTAATCCTAGCACTCAGGAGACAGAGGCAGAGATCTGTCTGGATCTCTGTGAGTTCAAAGCCACCCTGGACTACATGAGATTGATTGAGTCTAGGAGAGAAACAGAGCCAGGCAGTGGTGGCACACACCTTTAATGCCAGCACTTGAGATCTCATGCCTTTGCTGCCAGCATTTGAGAAGCACACACGCCTTTAATCCCAGCACTAGGAAGGAAGTGAAATGGCTGGGCAGAGAAAGGCACATAAAGCATGAGGAGACAGGAACTAGAGTTTTTTCAGCTGAGGACTCAGAGGCTTCCAGTCAGAGGATTCATGGAGACAGGATTGGCTGAGGAGTTGGTGAGGTGAGAAGTGGCTGTGGCTTGTTCCTTTGTCTGTCTGATCTTTCAGCATTTACCCCGATATCCGGCTCTGGGTTTTTATTAAGACCAGTCAGGATTCGTGCAACAGGAGGGCAACTTGTGGAGTCTATTCTTCCTTCTACCACGTGGATCTAGGGGAGTGAACTCGGGTCATCAGAGTCGGCAACAAGTGCCTTTACCCGCTCAGTAACTCGCTGGCCCAAGACCTAAGTTTAAACCGGGTATGCTCCCTTTCTCACCTGTTCCCAGGAACCTCAAGCCTAGGCTCTGGGTGTGTCTCAACTTTATCTTGCTCACAAACACCCAGGGAGTATCTTTACATTACAGTTGCAGGGATGGGTGTAGTGAGATCCTAATTAGTCTGAAAAATACAAACCTGGAGTCAGATATCAGGGTAAAAACGGAAAGATCAGAGAAGCAGGGGAGCAGCCACAGTCACCTCTTACCCCTCTGACCCCTCAAACCGAAAAGGAGCCAAGATCCTACGCCCCACCTATCACTTCCTCTCTCCGCCCACTTCCTGTCTCCTGTCTATACAGACCTCCAGACCTCTATGGTTAACTAGTGGCTAGCTCCACTCTCTGATCTTCAGGCGAGCTTTATTTGTGAGAACACAAACAAAATATCACAACATTTCCCTTTTTTGGTGTGTGTCTAAAATAAAAAGAGAAGGTTTGTATCGCACATTCTAATTGGTCTTAATAATAAAAACCCGGAGTCAGATATCAGGGTCAATGCTGAAAGATCAGAGAAGTCAAGGAGCAGCCACAGTCGCCTCTGACCTCTCCGAATCCTCCTACTGAAAAGGGGCCCAGTCCTGTCTCTTCCCGCCTTGTATTACTGTCTCTGCTCCCCTAGTGCTGGGCTTAACGGCATGAGCCTCTACCGCTGCCCTGTTTCTCTTTCAGACTGGATAAATCTTGTATGGCCCGGGGTGGCCTCAGCTCCTGATCTTCCTGCTTCCTCCTCCCATGTGCTGGGATTAAAGGTGTGTGCCACCCCTGCCTGGCCGCTATGGTTAATAAGTGTCTAGCTCCACACTCTGATCTCCAGGCAAGCTTTATTTGTTAGATCACAAACAAAATATCACCACAAAGGTACTAACATAGAAAAACTATGTAAAAAAGTACAATAACTGTATACATATATAGACACACACACACACACACACACACACACACACACACACACACACACGCAATAATTATATCAACAATGTCTAGTCTATTAACATTTGACAAATTCAGAGAAAATACTCCATTATCTATCCTATCTTGTTGAGTCCAAAGGGTTGTACCTAATTCACCTTCTATCCTAATTTACATTACCAACTGAAAACTATCTTTTGATGTCTCTCAATCCTATACACTTTACACCTCTTTAGTGAGTTTCTTATTTGAATTTGTTAACAAGGAAAACTATAACTATTTAGTTTTCAACATCAGAGACCCGAGAAGTAAATAATATTACCTGAGTAAGCAGGAAGCTCAAGCAAGCCACCTCCAAAAAATGTGACAGAAACAGCTGGCTACCTGGACAGTCACCCAAGGTTCCTCTGTAACGTTGGGGCATCCACCTTCGGCATACAGGCCTAGAATATCTGATAGACTTTTCTGTGAAGCAGGATATTTTGAAGAGCTGTCCTACCTTGTCTTGGCAAAGTTTGGCAGTCACTTTTTCGTGTGTCGTGCTTGTCTGATACTGTCAGCAGTTGAGGCAAGGGCACTTTCTTGCCCAGTGCTAACTCTTGCCACAAAGAAAGTAAACTCCATATGGAGTTTCTTTGATGCCCATCATCTTCTCTGAAGTAGATTTGTGCAGCCAAGAGCAGACATGTCTCATAGTCATAAAAAAAGAACCTATGTAATTAAAACATCTTAAATGCCATATTCTGTAGATTTCTGAAGTGTTTGCAGACCACCTGCCTACCAAAAATATATCTATTTGGCCTAGAAAACATGCATAATATGACTACAAATTTGATTGTAATAGGTGACTAACTACTAACCTACATTTCTTTATTATCCTAAAAAGTTTGTAATAATAACTTCAAGGACTAGAAATTTGCATTACATTGTTAAATGAGCTGTATAGATACAATACCTTGAACAAGAGTAGAAAGGTATGTACAGTATGTTCTAACAAAAATAATCTCAAATTTGTATCAGTATACAAAAATCCAAGCCAATGTAAAATATTTAAAACTAGTAGTTGTGCCGGGCAGTGGTGTCGCACGCCTTTAATCCCAGCACTTGGGAGACTGAGCCAGGCAGATCTCTGTGAGTTTGAGGCCAGCCTGGTCTACAGAGAGATCCAGGATAGCCAAGGCTACAATGAGAAACCCTGTCTCAAAAATCTAAATAAATAAATGATAAATAGAGACATGCTGGCTCATGGCAGCACCCCTGTCTCCTCCAAGAAGATGGACGGGCACAGAAGAACCTCCACATGGAGCTTGCTTTAAATGTGGCAAAGCTGGCCACAGGACAGAGAAAATTTCCTTCCACTTCACCTGCTGCCAAGACCTTGTCCAGGCTGTGGACAAGCAGGACCCTGGGGAACTGATTGCCCAGCTTTGCCAAGACAAGGTAGGCCGGTCTCCCCAAATTCCTACTCCACAGGAAAGTCTGTCAGATCTTCTGGGTCTGGCAGCTGAAGACGGATGCTGCCCTGGGGCCTCTGTCCCCAACGACCATGGAGGAACCTGGGGTAGGTGTCTAGGTAGCCGTTATGTCTCTGTCATTTTAATAGCTTTGGAAGGTGCTTCACCTTGGCTTGCTCAGGTGAAATTTATCCTTCCAGTTCTGATGGCGTTTGATGACTAGGGTACCGATAGCTTGGCCTGTTTAACAGCTCCCCCTGACCCTCCAAGGCTACAACCACTTTGGTAGTTCATTAGAGACATTTCTTATTAAAAATACAGACAGGCTTGCCTTGTTCACAGGCTTCATAGTAAAGGATAAACAGGTTTCACATTTCCTCTGGCTGTTTTCTAAGTGTAGACTTAAAGGTGGGTTTCATTGGGCTAAAACTAAGCTCTCTAGACAGGAAAAATGCCCATGCCTTTTAACCCAAGGCCATGACCTTTGCTAAGTCACCAAGGTGTGAATCTGTGCCAGCTGTTTGACAGATACCTGCATGTTCCCAAGGAAAGAGTGCTGCTACTGTATCAAGGAATCTGGTCTGGTGGAAACTGATACCGAGTCACTCCACAAACTGTCTGAAGAACTTTGCCAATACAACCAGGGCACATCTCTGTTCCATTCCCCCCGGCAGTCTTTGCTCTTCCCATGGCTAGCCCTGTTTGTAGGACTAGTGGTAATAATCGATTTTTTTCCTCCTAGCAACTTGTCTTCTCCGCTTCCTCCAGGAACAGATTCCTGAGGTCTCCAGGATGGCAGTTAACTGAAAGCTTCTTCACCCAAACCTCGGACTGAGTGTGAGTCCACTGACTCCTGACTCCCCTTCCCCAGGAAGTAGTCAGATTTGGACCAGAACCCATATAACCAAGAAGGTGGGTGTGTTCAGCTGGAACTTCCAGCTGAGAAGGCCCCAATTCCTGCCTCTCTAAACCCTGCCCTCTTGGAAAAACTGCCAAGTGGTGGCTTCTCCCCTAAAGCTGCACGATCCTTGCCTCAAGCCTTATAACTGGGCACAAACCCAGCTTGTGGAGAACATGTCATCACCTCCGTACCTACAGGGTATTTAAGGTCCCTCCTTTAGACCAGCCATGTGATTTCTCTCCTGCCCCTTCCCCCTTCTCAATCACTGGGGGCTGGAGGGTCACCCAGGAGTGCTTTGCCCAAATAAACCTGGTCTTTTACTTTTTAATTTGGCTTGATCTGGCTTACTGCGTCGGTGGAGAAACCTATTATTGGGGTACAGAAAACCTATTACAAACAAACAAAAAAAGTTAAATAGAAAATGATTGAGTTAGATGCTATGCCAGCCTACACATGTGCGCGCGCGCACACACACACACACACACACACACACACACACACACACACACACACACAATATCAGTCTAGGCTGGGACCTGAGGTTCTGTCATACAGGCTTCTGGGCCATACTGTAAAGGAGGTCTAGAAACATGAGGGGGGTCGGGGTAGCTTAGAAAGAGGAGGGGAAGGAGGCTCGGCCAGCATGGATGCTGGTGGCCTTTAGGGAGGCCCACAGCATCCTCATCCCCCAGCTTACAATGATTATACTGACACCCGAGGTACTTTGCTGGGGATCCCTGCTGTAACTGCTCTATCATGCTGCCCCTATCTCCGAGTTCAGCACACCATAGAAGGGAGAATGAGTGAAGTAAGCAATGGATTCATTCAGGAAAAAAACACTCAGAGCGGCACTGTCTAAATCCAAAGCCTGTGCTATTTATTTATTTATTTATTTATTGACTGTATAGACAGGGTCTC